ATGCACCAAACTCAGATCAAACTCTCAAACTAGACTGCTGATCAAATATGAATCTAGATTATGTTAAAGCGTTTCCACTAACTCGCCTTAAATCATTTCTTAAACATATTTTAGTGTACTGTTTATCTGTAATACGAGAACATGTGTGACCAGGCCCCGTCGTTGTTTCCTGCTACAGACGAAAGCGTAGTCAATCAGCAAAACTTAACTTGCAGTACGTCATTGCTGCTGGCAGCAAAAAACAGCTGTCAACGGCCATAATGCCAAATTCAACACTTCAAAATTCGTATAATTTTTTTAGATGTAATTTATCCAAAAACGTGGACTGGACTACACTTTCCTACAATTTTTTACATTAAAATCTCAGAGAATCTCTGTACAACCTCCATCTTCTGCTGCTGGTCACACAGTGGCTGTGTTGGAAGTTCAGTGCCTTTCTCAGTAGTTTGTTGACCTTAAATCTCGTTCAACAGCATTAAATCTCCATACTCATGAATAAAATTACTTTGTGTATTGTGATAGATTGAGAGTGTACCTGCAGTTTCCTGTAGGTCTACTTAGCTTTTTAGCCTCTAAAGAGTCTAAACAAACAGCTGGGGAAGGTTACTGACTAGCTGGTGAAGAAAGTGGAACACCCAGCAGCTAAAGAGACAGATATTCTTCTCTGTAGTTGGTGGAGACCAAACCAGAGCTGGAGAGTGAATATTGGATTTACATTTATCAGGTGCACAACAACACGGCTCCACTGAATGTTAATCTTGCTCTGTGTCTTGAAAAAATCTATTAATGCAGCTTTAATCGCTCACTTTCAGAAAATATTATATTCTCAGTCCTGATTCAAACCAGCAACTTTCTGGCTACAACCTTTGACCTGTAGGTGAGTGTCTCTGTTAAAGGTAGCAGGTTTCTATTTCTTACATGAATGGAGCCAAAGATTCTCAGAGTTTGGGGTCAAGTGTTCCAGAGGAAATAGAATATTTATTATCTATTTAGAATAGCTTTCCATCAAATGTCTTTTTCCTTTTTATTTTGTAGCCCTTTGGTTTCCTGCAGTGGCATTCTGCACGCAGGGGGATTATAATGAGAGCTTCAGATTGATATAAATAATTTTAGGGAGTTTGTCTATAAGAACAATATCCAGTAAGAGCAACAAGAGAAGGAAGGAGCAGAGGGACGTTTTTATTTCTGTCTTTGCCCTCTTTCTTGTTTCTCTCATCACCTTTTACTCCTTTCCCATCCTCATCCTCATTTTGTCTCCCTCCTCCTCACCTTTCCTCTCATTTATTGTCACCTCCTTTCTCACCCTTTCTCTCCTCTTCACCTCTTTCAGCTCTGTCTTCCATCTTCTTCTTCCACCCTTGTGCTTGCCAGAACAACAACCCTATCCATTATTTATCAAGGCTGACCAGAGGGGAGGCCCGGCACACTCATGCTGACCCCTCTCTAAACTTGTGTGTTTGTGTTCATGGTGTGTTACTTTTCATGGTGGCATCTTTGAATTCCTTGCACAGTGGTGTGTTTCTTTCTTTCAGAGGCCTGGTTTTATGTCTGCGCAGCACATGTGACAGACTGCTTGTGTGATATTGATTCCAGCATCTCTAAGCTGATGTAAACTGTCAGGTTCATTGACTGACAGAGACCTGAATTACGTGAGACAGGGCTAGTGATGGGTGATGGGGAGAATGAATGGATCTTGGTGCGCTTCGGTGATGATGGAAAACTTTTTTTTTCACAGTCTCAGCACCACCGTGGCTCTGTTCTTAAGGGGGGATTGATTCCAGATTGTTCTTCAAGTGGTTAATGATGGCTCAGTCAGCGTGTCTGAATGTGTGTCACCTTCTCCAACAATCCTACTACAGATTGACAATGTTGTCACCTTTTTCACCTCATCTACGGCCACAAGCTTCTTCTTTCTGCTGTCTCTGCCCTCATGGCCTTCTTAAGCTTCTGTCCGATTACATTCAGTTTCTTGATTACTGATGGCGCACTGACAAGCCAACAGATCCAACGGTGACTGTGAAAACTGCTGCGACTGCAGTTCCACAGTACTTCATGCTCCTGCAGCCGACTCAGAGTATTTTAACTTCTCTGTCTTTGCCTCAGTGAGTTTTATTAGGAGAGCAGTTTTGGCTCCCCTTTGGCAATACAACATGTCATGTAGAATCATAGTTAAAAAAAACTGGACTGCCCACATCTGTTTCAATCCTTCACTCTGTCCCTGGAACCAGGAGCTTTGCTTTTGGTCTGTTCTTTAGCTCCACACTGCCGTCTTGCTTTGCTTAGAAACTGGATTGTCATGACCAAGATGCTGGGCTTTCCTCCTTTTGACACATCTACATAGAGAAAAATAATATGAGTTTAGGTTCCTCTGTTTGCACATTTAATTTTCCAGCAGTCATGAGAACAAAATTAAGCATGTAACACTCATCATTAAAAAAATTTGCTGCAAAACAAATATCTATTCCCCTTCAGAGAAGATGTATTCACACTTGCTTACACATACCTAAGGTGTGAACCAGAGGGGCGCCAGGGGGAGCTTGGCTCCTCTTAATAAGACATTAAAAACAAAAAACCATGCATTTCTATTTTTCTGTATTTTCATCACCATGGATCATGCATAAAATTAGACTGTTATTGAGGTATGATTCATAGATGAGGGTGATTCATCACTACTTTAAAAAGGATTCTTGCTATCACCATCAAAGTGTGGTGTGCAATATTCTAAATTTCAACTGGCTTTAACTCAAACATCAGAAAAAAATAAACTTCTTACTCAGTCTAAGCATTAAATCACCATTATTCCCAAAAAGAATGAGCTCCCCAAAAAGCATAGTTTACGCATTGCACATATCTAAACTTTTTATCTAATAGAGTTAACATTCATGTGGACATTCAGAACTGTGTCTGCAGTAGTCCAACTTTAAAGGTTAGACCTCACAATCCTTTTGCCTGTGTTGCTATCACAGCTTCTCTCTGGTTTGTTTATTAAGCCGGTCTGGCCACACGGGCATGTTCATGCATGTGAGTCCCTCTGTGTACAACTGAGGAGAGCAACGTAACCCGCTGTTTTGGTGAGTTTTATTTTGTTTACTCAGCATGAAGTATGCTGAGTGGATGTGAGGTAAAAGTACAGTTTTTGTCTCTGGAGTCTGGGGCGAGCGATAGCGATATTACAGCTGTTTCTGGTTAAACTAAAGGTCTATCTCTGTAGGGATCCTTTTCATAACATTGTCAGACACAAAAACTGTCATTGGCAGAAACAAGCTATTTTAGTGGCACATTTGTCCCCAAGGATTAGCTAACATTACACAGCAGCCATAGAAACTGTTTCATGGCTATTTTCTCATCTAACTTGGTGAATTAATGATTTCTTTCAACCAAACCAGCGGTGGAGATTGTTGACAAAGACTGACAAAGATGGTTTCTGTCCAGTTTGAAGTGCTTGATAAAATTACTGATTTTGGTTATGAAGTGCAACACAGAGTAGCAAGTGCATTTTGTGTGTATATATTTAAGATATATTTCTTTGCTTCTAAGGTCAAGGATGAAGATGAACCTCAAATATTTATTTATATATTTTATAGATGATAAATAATTCAATCAAAACATAATGTAATGAAAGGAAAATATCCAAAATATTAGTCAAAGTAGTAAGATATTATCGCGTACCACGGATGTAAAACTGATCGCCTTTGAGGAGTTTGTAAACTAAATCAAATACATTTTTATGGAAGAACTTAAGATTGTCGCTGTCAGCAGTGTCATTCCTGCTGTAACTCTACGGCCGTGCCCTTTTATTATCATTCTGTCTGCTCATCTTCACCTCATCTAATCTCCATCCTTCATTTCTGTCATTTTCACGCCACATTGCTCTCCAGCAGAGTGACTGGCCGCTGATTGCATCTGTCCATCTCTCTCTCTTCCGTCTTCTTTCATTTTTTTATTGTCTGTTTCTCTCTTTTTCTTTTGTTTCCCTCTCTCTCTCGTGCATTGCACCTTCTCATATGTATGGATGCTTATCTTCTACACTTTCCGCCTTCACACATCCCTCCCTCCCTTGCTCTTTCCATCAAGCATACTTCTTGGATCACTTCACAATGCTCCATTTTCTCCCTCCCTTCACTTTTTCTATCCTTCCTTCACTTCTTCTTCCTCCTCCCTCTCTCATTTCCTCCTCTCCATACCTCTCCCTTCATCTTTCATTTTCTTTTACCCTCTATCCCTCTCTGCTCTGCTGTCTGTGAGTTTGTTTCCATAGTGACATTTCAGTGTGGCGGTCCACAGAAACACTAACAGGTCTTGTCATCATCACTTCCTCTCCTCTCACACCAGGCCGTCATTCCTCATCCCTCGTGTATGGCCGGTGTCATGTGCCATTAAAGCCATTTTGTTTTGTTTTTTTCTTTTCTTTTAATAATTTGTCGCTCCTTTTCTCCTCAGTGTCAGTGCTGTCGCCCTCACTGAAATGTATTATTCAAACGTTTCTAAAAATGACGCCTTATGCAAATACAGTATATATTACTGTCAAATCACTGTCAGCATATTTCTTGTTTTGTCTCATTTTCATGTATTTAAACAATGCTTTAATCAATATTGTAATAATAACAATGTATGAAATGATAATGTGAAAGGGGTCTCTCCATAGTGAATCTGCAGCTTCCCTTCGGCTTTACAGAGTTTCATAGTGAGTTTCAGCTAATTGTTTAACTCTCTGGCCACAACTTTACTGTTTTGAGTCACTGTCACTGTTCCCATCCCGTCATTTTCAGAGAGAAAGCTCTGCTCCACTTTATACTACCTGCTGAGCACCAAACAGCAGACAGACATGG